TAACCCATTACAGAAACTGTTGTCCCTTTTTTTTTTTTTTTTTTTTTTTTTTAAAAAAAAAAAAAAAAAAAAAGAGCTCTAGGCTAGGTGCTGTTTAGCCAGTGGCAACAGGTAAGGGTGGACACAGATGTTAGGTGGGGGTGCGTGGAGTTTAAATGGAGAGCCTTGACGTGAACTGTCAGGCCCTGCTACATCTTTGCACTGAGCAAGCAGAGAGAGAGAGAGCTCATGTTTCCTTGAAATGGAAGCCCATGCCTCCTCTCCCTGTGAACCTGCAGAAGCCCACCCCTCCAGAACCAGCCCCACCAGAACCCACCCACCAAGGGAACCTTGATTGGATGCACGTCCCTAAGGAGTCCCAGAGCCAGACCGTGGAAGAGGGGTGAACCGTTCCTTCAGATCCTCCTGTAGGACAGAACAAAGGGGCTGACCCGAATCCACTCCCACCCCAGGAGAGTAGCTCAAGGCCATTCACTGGGCCTGGTCTTTCCACTGTTTCCTTCTGGAGTTCCTGAGGAAGATAGAGCTCTTCCCATCCATTCCCAGGATGACCCGGGGTTGTTTTCACCCCACTGGGAGCAACCCCCTAGAGTTGCTAATTGTATTTATTAACAATGCTCCAGTGATGGGGAACACAGAGGTGGGAGCAATAGAGTTTGTAAAATGATTCATCAAGAGTAATTTGCTATTGATGCGTCCCTGGTAATCTCAAGAAATCTGATGAGGTGGAATTGAGGAAAATTTAATTATAGAGGCGAGCATCAAGAGCTGATGGCGTAATAGCATTTCCCACATTAACCTCATTTTTTCTGAGGGTTGTTTTTTTTGTTTTTTTGCATCAGCCACAATATTTTGTCCCCAGTGTTGGAATGCTTGTCAGATGCTCTTTTCACTTTGAACGTCCTGCCTTTGGTCAGTGCGAGTATCTCCCCACCCACCAGCTTTTCCTCTGAGCAGAATGGAGGTGTTGAGAGGATCCAGGGGAGAAATTAGCACCTGGCCAAAGACGGTAGGCTCTGTTCTCTGGAAACAGTGCTGTCTGCCGATATCATAAGAGGTGGGCTAGGAACAGATTGATAGACAATGGCCATGAAGGAGAGAAGCTTTGCTAAACGAGAGCAAGACGGACTATTTGCTCCGGGTTTGTGGGTCTCCTTTCTCCCACTTGTGGCCCTCCAAACTAGACATAGTCCCTCAGTTTCCTGGAGCACTGGCAAGTGTGGAAATGATGTTCTTATCTGTGTTAGTCAAGGCATATTTTGAATTCAGGTAACACAAGGGGTCTTTAAACGTTCATGGAAAGTGCATATTATGAAAAAACTACGTGTAAGTTTTGAAATTCTTTGCACCAGCATAACTTCATACTTTATTTTTTAATAATTATTTCTTTTATTTATTATTTATTTTAATTTGCTGTAGTCATTAGAGAGAGGGAAAACAAGAAAGCAAGCCACGAGGTCTGGGACCGGAAGCAGCGTTGACCATGTGCGAGTCCAGTGCCCTAGCCACCACGCAAACAGCCCTAGAGTTGTACGTGTGTGTGAGAGGGTTATGGACTAGTAATATAAGCGATACTAATCTCAACCACACTTTTCCAAGCACTTGGTAAATGCTAGGGGGCATTTTTAAGCATTTTATGTAAGTCAGCATATTTAGTCCTCCAAATCCAAGCTCTGAGGAAGGTATCAGTAACTCTCCCGTTTTATTGATAAGGAAACTGAGGCACGGGGAGTTGAAGTCAGTAGTCACCCACTTGGTATGTGGCATGCAGGCTTCAAACCCAGACAGCTAGGCTGCAGTACCTGTGTTCCTTCATGAAGCGCTGTGCAGATAGTAGCTGGCACATAGTAGGTGCTCAGCAAGGTAGAGCTGTCAGAGGGCTGGGTGACCTCTCTCACTGCCCCCTCTGGTCCAGCCTTCATGTGTTCCAGGATCATTTTACTCTGCCAGCGTATGCACAGTGCTTTGGGCCGGTGGAAGCAGAAATCCATGACTTATCCGAAGTTCAGGGTGAGCTCCTCACCAGCTCTGAGGTCAACAGACCTGGGTTCAGACCCTGGCTCCCATCACACTGTGTGATTTGGAGGAAGGTGCCTGATTAACTCTGCACTCACTACACCCTCTGTCTGGAATTCTCTTCCCGAGGATCTGTAAGTAGCTTCCTCCACGTTAATCGGCACTCCGCTAAGGTATCACCTCCCCAGTGTAGTCCTCCTGGCCATCCCACCACTGTCTAACTTGGGTCAATAAACTTCTTTTGCAAAGTGCTAGAAAGTAAATACTTTCAGCTTTGCAGACAGAATGTGGTCTTCACCATACCAACTCACCTCTGCCGATTAGCACGAAAGCAGCCATGGGCAACATGTAAACAAATGGGCATGGCTGTGTTCCAATAAAACTTTATGTATAAAAACAGGTAGTGGCCGGATATAGCCTGAGGCCCATAGTTTGCCAACCTCTCCTCGGACTCCATCCTGTTCATTTGTTTCATGACCCGAATCACCGCTTGAAACGATCTTATGTACCTACTTGTTCGTGTCCTTGTTGCCAATTTCTCACCAGTGGATTGAAACCTCCCTGACTATCTGGTTCACTCCACCACCTAGAGTAGAGCCCAGCATCTAACAAGCATTTCACATATCTTTATCAAGTATGTAAATAAATAATGTCTTGCAGGTAATAGATGCTTAGTGCACGTGTGTTGGATGAATGTCTTGTACAAAGTAGGTGCTTAAAAATCTGTATGAGTGAATGATATTGAAGATGCTTCATAAATATGTGTTGAATGAATAAAAGAATGCACCATGCCGCGCCCAGAGTGAACTCCGTCTTCCCAGGCTCAGTTCTTCACCTGTGAAGGAGCACTGCGCCAGCAGTGTCCCTGCGAGACTGTCGTGCAGTGCCTGACACCCAGTGCAGCACTCACGGGGACCGAGTTCATAGCTCTTCTAATCATGCCATTTTTCCCTTTGACTTTCAGAGGAGGCATCGAAGCTGCACAACGGGCCCCATCGCAGCGCCTACATGGAGCAGAGCTTCCAGAGCCTGAACCCTGTCTTAAGTCTGCCCATCAGCCCCGCCCAGGTGGAGCAGGCTCGGAGGAACGCGGCCTCCACAGGCACAGCACTCGAGGGCTGGCTGGACTCACTGGTGGGCGGGATGTGGACTGCCATGGACATCTGTACAACAGGCCCCACTGCCTGCCCGGTCATGCAGACCTGCAGCCAGACGGCCTGGAGCTCCTTCAGCCCTGACCCCAAGTCAGAGCTGGGAGCAGTCAAACCCGATGGCCGGCTCAGGTAGCACTGGGCACCTGCGGGCCACAGCAGGATCTTCATGGCAAAGCAGCCAGAGGGGCCAGTGGGACCTGAACCCTACCCTCCCACCCCAGGGGCCCATTCTGTGCAGGGGGCTCTCCTGGCTGTAGAGTGGTGAGGGAAAGTTTGGAGATCAAAGCAGGGTTGGCCAACGACCTGCATAGGTCAGCCAACTTCCGGGGGCAGGATAAGCTCAGACCCAGTGCCATGGTGGTCTCACCTCCTCTGGTTGAGCCTCAAGTCCTACAGGTTCCTTGTCTTCCCCCTCCAATAACCTGACCCTCCTCCCACACACAAGTGATTTTCAAATTCTTATTTTGAGCAGCAGAACTTTGTTTACTGAGCGCAGGATGGGTAGAAGTGTAAGGTGCAAATGCAGTCCAGGCTGCTCCGGCCGATGCTGAGGAGTGAGATTCCCTCTGGAAGCTCAGCCCACTGGCGGTCCCTTTGCCCAGCATCTCCTAAGGTACCTCTTCAGAACCCAAGGGCTCCGCAAAACCAGTTTGACAAGCACTGCCCAGACAGGGGGTTTGAACTCCAGCCCTGCCCTCTAGCCCATCTTTCTGCTCCTCTTAGCTGGGAAACTCCGGGGCCTGCCCTGAAGTGGGGAGCCACTGAAAATCCCAGTTGTGGACCTGGGCTACCAGGGAAGGCTCTGCACCCCCTGCCAGCCCTTCTCGGGTTGCATGATTCTCCATAGTAACCAGATGAGTGGGAAGGCTTTTTGGTGTGACATGGCCAAGGTCCACCCTGAAATGTGACTGCCACCTGCCCAGTGGTCCAGATCGCTCTCCCTCAAGGCTGCTACACAAACTAGCAGAAATGCGATGATGCTCATGTGCAGAGCCTCGAGTGTCCTGGCCACGCATAGGAGACCAAGACCATGACCTGTTGGGTCCTTGGAAATGGGAGCTTTGGGGACCATGGCCATGAAACTCACTCAAGAGTGCTTAGAGCTAAACTCCCAAGCTGGACAGCACAGCAATACCCACAGCTGCCAGAGCTCTTCTGCTCTGAGGCCAGCCATGCAGGGCCCATGTGAACTGCACACTCTGTGCTGTTGGGAGTGACCAGACTACATGGACGGACCTGTCACCTCTGAGAATGAGCATTTCAGATTTGCTTTCTGATGGCACACCTTTCCTTGTGTGAGGGGCCCGCAGGTCAGTTGGGGCATGCCGCATGGCGGTGGGAACGTTGACTTTAGAAAGTGGGAAAGTTGTGTTTTTTAAAAAACATTTTTTAAAAATAGTATTATATAAATTGCTGGAGTTACCAGAAACCTAGTGGGTTTCCTTGCCATGTGTCCCCTGGAGGGTCACCCCTGCTGATCCAGAGAGCCCCTTCCTGCAGGCGCCTCTTCCTTCTCTAATCCCACCTCCCTACCCCTGAACAACAGGGTCCCCTTGGAAAAGTCACCTCCCTGGTGGCCAGCTGTCCTTCACCCAAACAGCCAGTCTTCGTGTTCCCCCAGTGTGGGTTGGAAGGGTCCGCAGTGGCTATGGGTGCCCCGTCAGCTGTGCTGCCCCTCCCTCGCCCAGCAAGGCAGGATGTCCTGTTGGCAACGGAGGACATAGAGAAGGGACACTTTAGATATTTATTATTTATATGTTTTAGTCCATGACTAATTAGTAGGTGCTGTTTTTGCAGCTTGTCAATTATGTTATCTTACTAACTGAAGCTGCCTTTATTCACAAAAGGCCCCCCGCCCCTCCTTTCTCACCCCTACTGTCTCTGTCTCTCCCTTGGTTTCTGTCTCTGTGTCTGCCCTACATTCTTCTTGTCCTCAGAGTAAAGCAGTGATATCGGGCACCTGGAGGAGGGTGTTGGCCAGCATCATCGCCCACAGACTGGGGGTGAGTGCCTGGGTGTGTGTCGCAGCCTCAGCTTGCCTTCTGCAGAGCGCCAGCCTCATCGGTCCCTGCAGTTATGGACCTTTCGGAATTCCTGAGCCTCCTGCCCAGGCACAGGGATGTGACAAGCTGAAGACTTAGGGGTGGGGGTGCTGACTGCAGAGAGCTGGGCCACGTGTGCTTTCTCCATCAATGACATTCCATAGCCGATCTAACCATGTGACCATGACAGAGGGAAGCGGGCTCCTTCTGAGGGACATCCATCTTAGGAAATGGGTGGTCAGACCCAGGCAGGAAACCCCAGGAGAGAGCTACTGTCAGAGTGGCTTTCTCAGAAAACCCATCTGCTCTCTCAGCAGCTTTACAGGCTCTGGAGCCACATCCTCGTCCTGCCCCAACCTCTGGTACCCCAGGGCTGTCGAGGCAGCCTGCAGAACCTTCCCACTTCCCCCCTTACCAGGCCACCAAGGTTCATGGTCTCTGCAGTGTTACCAGCAGTGGCTTTGGGAGCTCAGCACTGGCGGGTCCCCATGTACATGGAGAGGTCTGCCAACTCCAAGACAGGGCCCTCCTGCACCTGCTGACAGGTCCGACTTTGTTCCATCTGGGAACAGGTGAAGAAAGGGCAGAGCTGGCCCTCTCTGGGGACAACTCGCCTCCCCTCCAGGGCTTCACCCTGCCTAATTCCGGGAGCTGAGAAATCACATGGTATATTCACCTGTCTCTTCTGGTTTGGGATCAGAATAGCTTTGCAGATGTTACAGTCAGTAAAGGAGAATTGTAAACAAAGCCCAGCATGATTTGAGAAAAGGTGATGTTTTCCCAGGGAAAATGGCATGGCTTTTTTCTTTTTTAATCTGAGAATGATTTATTCTTTGGAGGTCATTGGGCAGGCAGCCCTGAGCTGTGGCTGCCCGCAGATTTCAAAAGCACGAGCCTTGCTCAGCAAACCCTGCTGCAGTCTGTAGAGGCACAACAGTGGGTCGAGCTCAGTCGGTCCCTGGAAACTCAGGAAGGCTTTACGGTGTGGCCAGGCTGTGGGTTGTGGGGAGAAAGAAGCCCTCGGTAGGCTGCAGCACTCAGGGTTTCTACCCACCCATGACGTTCAGGCAGAAACTGTGCTCAGGGGGCAGCCCACCTTCCCAAGGCCACTTTCCAGGCCATGCAGCATGTCCCTAAGACGTACGTGCGCAATTCCTGAAGTCCCCTTCTTCTAAGAAGTGCACTTGTTCCTCTTGTGGAAAAAGTCCTCTCTGGTGGGATGAGGAGTCATTCTGACTGTGTTTCTCACTGTTGGTTTCACTTTGAAAATGGACATAGAGTTTAGAGAGGATGAGCCAGACCAAACTGCCCTCCCACCTCACAGGACCACGGGCTGCTACTCTGGGTGCAGGCCGGATGTGCGAAGACCACGCCTCCTTCTGGTACTCTAGTTTGCAGATGCAAGGAGGACACTGGCTGGAACCTGGGCCTCTCTGCCAAGGAGGTGCAGAGCGGGAGGGCAGGAGGGAGCACAAGCCGAGACCCTCTGCACAGCCGAACCCCCAGCAGCGTGCTGGAGTGGTCTGCTAGAAATAGCTGTCAGCATGCTCAGCGTTAGAGACAGCAGGAAGATCGGCCAGATCTAGGGATCACAAGTCCTTGTGGGATCCAGCACACTGACATAGACTGAATGAAGCAATCGGTGTAAGACACACGGGAGCGGTAGAGACTGGTCTGACTGGCATGCACGTGCTCCATCCAGAAAGAGCGACCACCACGCAGCTCCAGCCTGTCATTCCGTGTAGCCAGGCCACCACGGTATAGTGGAATCTTCCCATGGGTAGGAAAAAACAGAAATCGTGAATTTTTATAGAAAGATTTGATTTCTACATTTAAAAAAAAAAAAAAGAAAAATACAGTGTAGACAAGGAGAAATTCCACAGTTCCATGTGTGCATGGCCAGCAGCTTGCGCTCTCTGGAGAGGCAGTTTAAAATGAGGTTAGGCGTTGCCTGGTGAAGGAGGAAAATACCAGAATGGGAAAGGGCAGAGATACGCTAGTAGCTCACACTGAACTCTCAACGGAATGGGACCCCACGAGCCATCCTCCCAGCAAGAGCATCCCTCCAAGGAGGGCTGGCTTGTTCAGCTCTCCTGGTCCCAAGACGGTTGTGCTGAGGGAAAGGAACAGCATTTGGAGGTGTGGACATGGGGAGGTTCAGATCTGCCAGGGTTCACTCCTGGGCTCCATCTGGCCAGGCAGACCTGGCTAGGACAAGGGTCCAGGATGATGCGGGAGGTGTGTGGGACAGCGGGCTTCTCCAGATCCCAGGACCAGGAAGTCCCCTGGCTTCAGCTCTGGAAGCCTCTTTGGAAACCACGCGCAGCTGTGCTTGCTCACGGGATGCCCTCTGCTTCTGCCTCAGTTGTCTTACTTTGTCCATGGGCCAACCTCAGGCGCTACCTCATTGTGTCTGCTGAGAAGTTTACCTGGGGGGAATAAAGGTGTCCACCTCTGCTCGAGCTGAATGTACGATCTATGCAAATTCTGTTTCTCTCCCCACTCTGTCTCCCCTCCCCTCTTTCTTCCCCCCCTGCCTATCTCTCCTTGTCTCTCTGTGTCTCTCTCTAACTTAGAAGTATTTTTTTTTTAACCTTGGAAACAAGATACTGTATAGGACCCTCTTAAGACTGAGGAGGGCTTTCGCACGCCACCTGTGTCTGCGCCTCCTGTTGTCTCTGGTTCTGTTCTTGCCAAGCCCTGTGCAGGGAGAAAGAGGCCTCTCTTCCCTCTCCACCTGGCTAGGAAGACTCCCCCCGTCTCTGCCTCCACACGCCACTGCCACCGCCACCGCCACCACAAAGCAGGTTCCACACCTTGCCACTCCACTCCTAACGCTGTCTCCCCTCTCTCCTCATTTGCCTCTGATGTGCTCCTCCATCCCCCCTCCTTTACAAAGCCTTAGGTTTCTCCTTTTGGAAATGTGGCCTTATCGTTATTTTGGGAAAGCTGACTGCCCGCTCCCTCGTGGTTTCACCAACATCACGACCAAGCTGAAGCTTCTGCGGCGCCTTCCGGCCCAGCGCTGCCGCTCTGCGCGGGGCGGATGGCTGGAAATGGCTCACAAATGTGGTCTTTAAGAAGAATGGTCTTCTATTTGTCCTGTGGGCAAAATGAAGGCTTGGATGCTCGCGTAAACCTCCCCTCGCTCCTGAAGCACTCTGTGAGCATTTTGCTGCTCTGGCGGGCGGCCGGGCTTAATTACCGAGTGCTCACAGCGACCCTTCCCCCAGGACTGGGTGACTATGTACTTCCTTCAAGGGAGAGTCCGGAGAGTTTCTCAATGTCTCTCTTCCTCCTTCCTGCCTGGAAAGCGATAGCATTAAATACTCCCAGCGGAGGGGTAATGTTCTCTTAGGGGTCTCCCTCTCCCTACCTTCAGACCCTACCCTTTACCCTTCCATCGCCCCAGTGCTGATGGAGGCCAAAGACAACCCCAGGGTTTTCATAGGAAATTCACTGGAATTGAGCGCAATTGTCTTTGTGGTCCTTTATTCTTTTTTTTTTTTTTTTTTTTTAAATATTATGTTGTCAGTAGCCTTTGGGTATTTGTTTTAGAGGCCTCACAGTAAGTTATTACGTCCCCTCATTGTTTTCAAAGACGTGGTGATATAGTTTTTAAAAATAACTATTTTGTTATAGATCATAATATGCATAAAACTGTACAGAAATATTTTGTAATGTATTGATTTTAAAAAAAGAATCTGTAAATAAAGTTTTAAAGAGAGAGAATTCAAACGGCACACACTGAAAGATGTAGATATTTTGCTATTTATTTAAAGGAGTATTTTAAGAGATATTGAACTATCTGAAATTGACCAATAATCAAAATTTCGATCATCCGAATGCTTTTTTCTCAAGGTAGAATGTGACTCAGATATGATTGCATTACCTACCCCCCCCCTTTTTTGCACCTTTTCTGTCTTTTCTTTTAGCAGAAAAACAACAACGACAACAAAATTGTGCCTTAGCTGTATTCCTTTGTCTAGGGGAGTTTGTTTCTGTCTGACAAAGCAAAATTTTTTGCAGAAAACAGTGGATGTATTAAATACTGTATCATACCAAAAACACTGCAGGTGTATATAGATGCTTTCTGTCATACTGTGTTTTCAGATGCAGAATTTTAAAATTAAAAAAAAAAATACTGTCTTTATGGAACAGTGGCTGTGTGGCGTCTTTGCATTGTGTCTCTTCACACAATCTTGTGTTCTCTTCTGTCGTCTGTACCACAACAGATAAGAGCACTGTACAACTTATCATCCAGATCGGGGTATTTTTGAGAGTTAAAGGAGGCACCAACTGACGGGATGCTGAAACCACAGGCATACACTGGGCTTCTCCTTGGAAAACCTGGAAATGTGAACACATTCCCTCCTAAAGGCCATGCCTATCTCCAAGCCAGTTTATTGTCAAAACCTTCCTATAAGTCCATGGTTGATACAAAAACATGTTTAAGAAGTTTTTGCCTTAGGGTGCATGTGCTCACTGGAAGAGAAAGACAGACACAGTGAGAAATCACTCCCAGGGGGAATGGCCACTCAGCAACCCCTTCTCCTCTAAGCTCCTTCTGGGCTCTTTGGCACATACACACATGTGTCTGGTGTGATTTTCAAGCCACTGGGTCTGGGACTCGAACCACAGCCATGTGGGAGTCCAGTGACATAACTGCTACACCATCTGCTAGTCACACAAATTTTAAATTTTAAATATACATATATATTAGGCGAGGTCTCACTGTGTCACAATCCTCCTGACTCAGCCTGCTAAGTACAGGCCTGTACCACTAAGCCCAGCTTTCAGGGTGGGCTAAGAATGCCACCCAGGACTCCCTATGTGGCCTCAGCCTGCCGCGCAGCACTGTCAGCCAGCATGCACTGCCATGGCTGGACCTTCTGGTGTATGTTTTTGTTTTTTTTTTTTTTGAGAGATTTTCACTGTAGGGCGCGTGGGCTCGCCACAGACAGACAGAGAGAGACATAGAGACAGAAAGCGAGAAATCACCCCCCAGGGGGGATGGTCACGCCGCAATCCCTTCTCCTCCATTCTCCTCTCGGGATCTTGGGCACGCACGCACACGCGCCCGGCGTGCGTTTTAAGCCACCGGGTCCGGGACACGAACCGCAGTCGACTACGTGGGAGTCCAGCGACATAGCCATTACGCTAACTGCTGGTTCCCCTGGTGTATGCTTTTAAACCCTTGAAAAAGAGGGTAGTGAAAAGGAAGTGCCATCTGAAACTGCAGTTTTCTGTACACACCCAACTGGCTGGTTGTTTAGCAAACCTCTTCCCTCTCCCTCTTCATCACAGAGCTAGACTACATTTCCCAGATTGCCTTGCCCTTCGATGTGGCCACCTGACTGGCTTCAGGCCAATAGGATGTAGGTGGAATGGATCTGCTACCAAGGCACCTCTAATCCTGGCCCATAAAACTTCCCACTAGAGCTTCCGCTTTCTCAGCCTTTCCCTATTTGCCAGCACAAATGTTTTGAATCTTCTTGATTTTGCATGTTCATCTAATTGGCCTATGTTACTGCTCTTTTTGAAAGCATCATTCAGCCCCCAATATAAAGGACAGAACTACAGCATAGGAGGAGCCTGAGCCTCTGAATAAGTACAAGGAATGCCACCTGACCAGACTCACCCTATTGACTACCGCATGAAAGAAACATTTTGTTATGCCACGAAGAATTCATTTCAGCATCTAGTCTTGCCTTCACAAATCCATCCAGAAGTGGAAATTTAGATGATCCTCGGGGCAAATTCAAATTTTAGCCCCTTCGTTCCATGGGTGAAGATAAAGAGCCAGGTAGGTGAAGTGATTTGCCTGAAGCCACCCCTGGTCATTGTGGTCAAGTCTAGGACCAGGTTTCTTATCTCCAGTGAGACCTGGAAAAGTCATTGGCAGGATCAGTTCCTCCATCCTCAGGCTGCCTTGCGATTGTGTTTATATGTGGTCTCTGAGGGCCAGGCAAAGGCTTGGGAGTACCTGGCTAGCTGGGCTACGCACATGCCTCTCACCCTTCAGAGTCAAAGAGTAGTACTGAGACCCAAATAAAATGTTAGTAGCCAGAATGAAATAAGATAGAGCTCTTCATTCAATAGACGAAGGGGCAAAAATATAGGAGCTATGTCAGCTCCAGCCTTTTTGTTTGTTTGTTTAGCCTCCATCACCCAGTATTCCTAGGCAATCTCCCATCCAAGTATTAACCAGGCCCAACCCTGCTTACCTTCCAAGATCAGACAAGATTCAGTGCATTTAGGGTGGTACAGCCATAGACAACTTCTGCCTTCTTGAGCTTGGCTCAGGAGAGAAGGTGAGTGACTCCATATTTAAAGAGATTCATTTGCAAAAACCTTTCTCCAGCCTGACCTTATAACCAACTTTCCCCTCCTCTGCCTTAAAGTTGATTTAGTTGCAACAAAAGAATAAATTTCCAAAATCCTCATAGGAGTAGCAATCGTAGCCATCTTGTCTATCATGGTACCCTGAGTAGTTCGCACAGGCACCCTGGGATATGGACATTTGCTGACTATTTAGTGAATGAGCACATAAATGAGGCCATATTTCTCAATTAGTGAACAATATGAGCACAGTATCATTGGTCCAAGATGCTGTCTCTACATCCATCGTTTGATTGATATTATGTGTCAAAACATGGATTATTGTAAAGTAAACCATGTTTTTTATCTTCAGTGGTGAAGTTTCTGGGCCTATTTTGTTCAAGGGTTGATTGGAATTTCTTTCCTACTCATTTACTTGAACTGTCACATGTCACCTTTTGTTCAGAGAATAGTAACAGTTGGTTTATCAAATTAGTCATTTTAAGTCTTTCTGTTTTTCTTTTAAGAGAATCCTTATTCCATCAAAATTGTACATTAAACCCCAAGATATACAAGGTACTTAAAAATTGGAGATTGAGAGGGCTGCTCTAGTTGAAAAGGGAGTAGAAGGTTCTCTCTTAGCAATGTCTCCCATTCCCTCCAGTCAACCTCTTTGGAAAGGGGATATAAAGATGGCCATGCTTCGAAACCCATTCTGGTGAAAGTAGCTAGGGTTTTCTGTAGCGTTGGCTTGAGGTCTTTAGCCAGCTTGCTGAAAGGTCAGTCCTAGGCAGGATCTCTAAGAGTGAAACCAAACCAAGACTACTTCATTCTTTGCCTGGGCTTGGAAAGACAGGAAAGTAGAAATGTATGGGGCCAGAAAGTGATGCAGTGGTAAAAAGTGATGCTCGGGAAGGCTGATCTACTTGGCAAGGTTCCAGGTTCATCTTCGAAGACAGCCCTGGGTACTCTGGGCAAACGCGTGCCTGTAACCTAGGACTGGCTGAGACTGGGGGTGGATCATGGCATCAAGACCATGTTGGGGGCAAGGTGCTATCTGTCTCTTACTCAGAGGACATAAATAAACTTTTAAAAAGAGAAGGAGGGAAACTTAGAGTTGGGACTCAAAAGAGATACGGCCAGCCTGAAGTCAAGTTCAGAGACTCTTGATCCAGTACGTTCATTCTGAGTTAATCTGACCCTCATCCAGTCCCTACACTGATGAGAAGTACTGACCTGAAGAGAAGAGACCTAAGCCTTCTTTAGCCCTAGTTCTGCTACTTATTTGATACATAATCATAGTCTCTCCTGTGATGGGTCTCAGTCCCTTCATCTGCCAAATAAATGGGGGAGGCAAACCCACTGATCACTGTGGCCCCTTCTAGCTCAAACATGCAGGTGTATAGTTCGAGTCCCCACTTAGCACTTGTATGGAACATGGAAGGTGTCAACTTTGTAGAAGAAAATGTATCCAGACACGATTTCTTTATGTTCATAATGTGTATGTTAGTCAAGGTTCTTCCCTTCACAGGTAACAGTAACCCAACTCACAGAAGTGCAGTCAAAAAGGGAATTTATCAGACCATGAAACCATGAAAGATAACAGGATTAACATGCAAAGTAGAAGAACAAAGATAACCTTAGGGGACTGAAGAACTGCAACCAGGGCCTCAACATTCACAGTCCTCTCCTTCTCTGCTGGCCCTCATTTAACTCTATTCTCTCCTACAGACAGCTGAGTCCACATGGAAGCGAAAGGAAGCCCCAGAAGTCCCCACTCTCATCTTTTCCAACTCCATAACATAAACCACCAATATTCTTTGTCCTCGTTGACAGAAGATAAGGCTCTAGCCAGCAAGGGTCACATCCCAGCACTGGACCTACCACTAAAGTCAGGAAAACAAGATGCTATGATTGGCTGAGTCTAGATCATACACCCACCCCTGTGGCCAGGAGGAGGGGGAGTATTGGACAGGAAACTGCGATTGGCAGCTCCATCTCAGTCACATAATTGGAGTAGAAGACGAGGTATCTCCAAAGGGAGAGGATGGTGCTAGACAGACAAAAACAACAGATGTCCATCCACTGCCACAGCCAACTCCAGGCCCAAGTGGCTTAGCTTGCCAGTCCAATTCGTTTCTGCTCCTCAAGTGCCCAAATCGTGTCCACCCAGCTCCTGTTTATACTTCCCTAAGGAGAAGGGCTCTGCACCTGTCTTACGTAAATCTTTTTCAATAACTATCACATGGATGGTGCAGATAATTTCATCCTCACTTAATTAGCTGTGGGGTGTTTGTGCTTATGGAACAACATGACGAATTTCTCCTTTCATCCTTGCAGACTGGGCACAGGACACATTAGAAAGGCCCATGCAGCTGCCCTCAGGTAATTATGGTGGATGATGCTAACCTGCTGCAGAAAGTAGGGCCTGTGTACTTGCCATGAAGAGCAACATCTGTCCACGGTGTTGTAGTGTCTTCATTCCCCAATCCCAGTCTCCATTCTGAGCCTTCCATGATCTGTCCCCTCAGAAGACACCCAGGAGGCTCTTGCCAGAAAACCCATTCATGAGGAGGTGGCCTGGCTTGTTGATAAGCATTTTTGCTTCTAAAAAATGTAGTTGATCAGGAAAACAGTGTTTAACCTAAGTAGTAGAAAGCACTGGTGGTGGGAGATCTGTGTGGCTTCAGGGATGGTTGGACAGGACTCGGGAGAAATGCAGGGAATGCCTTTCAAATCACACTATGATGACTAATCCAGTTCCTGCCAATCTTCCAGTATCTCTGACCAAAATAAGGATCTCCTCCTCCCACTTTGGAATCAAATAACCCTGTGTC